GGGAGCCCGATGCGGGACTCGATCCCGGGACTCCAGGATCATGACCTGAGCCGAAGGCAGTCGCTTAACCAACTGAGCCACCCAGGCGCCCGACTGGTTAGCTTCTTTTAATGGTTTAAGATTTAACTCAGGTGTTACCTCTTCCAAGTACCTTTCTGTTATTACATTTAAGGAGCAGGTAGATATTAATAGAAGAGGTAAGTTTGCTTATTATCAGCCAATATCATGTTAATACGAATTAAGTCTCAAAACTTAATTGCTGATAATAAGCAAACATAAGAGTAAACACTAGAAAGACAGTTAAACCTGACGAGGATCAGAGATGGTATTGTGGCACTGTGGCTCAAACTGAGCTCAGTGGAACGTGAGGACCAGAATCCTTAGGGTTTCTTTAAAGGAAGTAAGCTGAGCAATTGAGCAAACACTTGAACGTACTGCTGGAGAAATGTGAGGGGGATTCTTCCCCTTGGCCACACTGCCTTTTATTAAAGACGGGTAACCTACGCCAGTTTACAAATCCAGGTGGAGCAAAGAGCAAACTCGAGGTCCTTGTTCTGAAAAACACACAAGCACAACTCTGACCACTAGGTGACGACCGAGTTCAGTCTTTTGACTCATCCTCCAACAGAGCCCCTAACCTGTTTCTTAAAACACAACTACTGGGAACTAATTTTATTACAGAACCACAGGGTTGTTGGGGAGAAAGGGAGCTCAAGTAGCCCTACCATGCAGACATATAAGAGTTAGCTTATTTAAAAAGTTTTGGAGAAGGTTTACCGCCCTGATTGAAAACCAGAACAAAAGTACAAACACTTAATCATGTCAAATGATGGTGGGGTCATGATCTGGGTCAATATAGCAAATACGGCATAATGAAGTTCAAGTGGACCAAGGCACAGGAACTCACAGTGCCACTCACTCTTCTAACCCTGTGGCCATAGCAGACATTGAAAATCACACCTTGCACTCAATACTGCATAATAATTGTTTATCTCTTTGCCCTCTGACTATGAACTTGACTGAGTCCAGAGCATGGCACATTTAGGCACTTAGTATTCATTCAGTTATCTGTCCAGCAGATACTTATTGAACACCTAATACATGTCGGCCCTGCGACAGGTGCTGGAGATCACGACTGTGAGTGAAACCAAACACAGCCACGGCTCACATGGAGATTAAAGTCTCGTGGGGAGGCACACATTAATCAAATAAGCCCACTGGTGACAGTTTAATGACAGATTGAGATAAGTGCGCTGAAGGAAAGGAAAAGTTCATGGAGGTAAATAAGAGAGGAACCTGATCTAAACTGGCAGGTGCAGGAAGATTTCCGAGGAAGGGAAATACGTCCTTGAGCTGACATATGAAGGGTGAGTGAGATTAAAAAGGCAAATTGGGGAAGAAAGAGGGAAGGGTCTGGCAGAGGCTGCAAAGGCCCTGTGGAGGGAATAGAGGCCAGTTAGAGAGTGCAGCAAGATGACGCTCGAGAGGCAGACAGTGGTGGACCAGGCTGGGTTTCTCAGGCTATGTCAAAATTTTTATATTTATCTTAAGAGCAAGGAATCTATGGAAGGTTTCTAAAAAGGGAGATGATGTCTGTTTTGTAAAGATCACTCTGGCTGCAGTATGGAGAAAAGATGGACAGGCTGAGAGGTTTCCTAGGTGCCCCTTCTATGCACAGTAATGCTCTAAGCAATGTGAAGAACTTTAGTTATAACTGTATTTATGATGGACAGACAGAAGCTGTATGTATAGGAAGGAGTTGGAGAACAATACAAAGTAGCTGTCTTCAGTACTCCTCTGTGGGTTTTACACTGACTTGCTGCAGGAATTCTAAGAATGTATGAAAAGGTAAAGAAACCAGCATGGGTTGGAGGTAGGGGTGTGTGTGTGTGTGTGTGTGTGTGTGTGTGTGTGTGTGTGTGTGTGTGTGGTGTGTAAGATATGGGAGGGGATAAACTGCCCTTTGAGAGAAGCACTCCACCATTTCCCTTAGCACCCAGTTTTTGCCTTTTAATCTGAGTGTTTCTCTTATCAGGCTCTGGGCCTGGAAGGTAGAAACAATTGCCTTTCTCTCTACTATCTGTATCAAGAACAGTATAGAGCACATAATAGGTGCTCAAGAAATTCTCATTGAATGGATTATGGATAAATGAGTAAAGGATGGGTGGGGAAGTGTTTATTGGAATTGGGGTCACTTTGAGAGCGCCGAATCCTAACCACTAGACCACCAGGGAGGCTGAAATCGGGGTCACTTTGAGAAGGAGCCAGTCTAAAGCAGAATGTTCATTTTAGGGAGCTATGAGGGGTAAGATTGGCTTGCTTGGAAGGTAGTCAAAGAGCTTGACAACCCCAGGCTGTGCATTTAATCCACGATGAAAGGCTTTTTTTTTTTTTTTTTAAGAGAGAATTTTAGAGTGAGAATGAGCAGGAGGGGCAGAGGGAGAGAAAATCCCAAGCAGATGCTGTGGGGAGTGTGGAGCCTGATGTTGGGCTCGATCTCACAACCATGAGGTCAGGACCAGAGCCAAAACCAAGAGTGTCAGACGCCTAATCGACTGTGCCACCCAGGTGCCCCCAATGATGAAAGGTTTTCATGTGAGGAATGTGTTGAGCCCATTCCAGTATTAAAGGACCCTCTTGATGAGGAAGAGTTCCCCAGTGTTTTATCTTCACTGCCTTCTGCAGTCTGGAAATTCCCCCAACAAGTCAGGGAGAAGGGGAAGAAGTCATTTGGGGTTTCCTCCTCTGATGGGGGCCTCGAACCGTGGCATTCCTCTGCCCTGGCTTCCACAGTAGCTCAGAGGGAGGGCGGAGATGGTGGTCAGCCCAGGTGCCAAGCCCGGGCTCTGACGGCCTGTCTAAAGCACTGTTCTGACAGAAAATGAAACCAATCTTCCCAGACCTGTTTTCCTTTCTGGGTTTCTCTCCAGATGGCTCACACTGGGAAATGCTTATCTGGCCAAGCTGCGAGGAGTAGAGTTGGGTGGTGATTCTGCTTGTAGCCAGCTTTCTTTGCATTCTCTGACGGTGTTGCCTGTGGGGGTTGTAGGGTGTGTGTGTGTGTGTGTGTGCGCGCGCGCACGCGTTGATGTTACTGGTGTGGGGTGCAGTTTGGGAGTGTTCAATGCCTCACTCGTGGCAATGTCAAAGTTGTTCCAAAGTTGTTGTTCCAACAATTGTTGTTCCAACAATACTGTATATTTGATTGTCTTGAGCTTTGCATGCAATTAAGAAAAAGGGCTAGAATTTAGTCATCTGTATCGTGACCAAAAAAGGGAAAGTGTTGTTTAATTTGGTCTCAGAAATGTCTACTATGTGGATCAACCTGCACTGGGGTTACCTCCCAATAGAACTGTGTTTAGAACAAAAGTCGCAATTGTAGATGGACCAGTACGAATCTGGTTTATGACTTTGAGGGCCAACTCTAAGGCTTTTAAGGCCATCCTGACTTGTCATGTTTCTTGGGATCAATTTCTCCCTCTTATTTGGTTAAAATTTGAGCCCAGAAGAGGGAATGAGAATAAAAGTCTATTGCTGGTAGTGACCAGACCTTACCTCGTCTACCCATACAACAGCTCTGTGGATAGGTGCTTTGTTTTGCTGATGAGGAAACTGATGTTTAGAGAGGTTGATTGACTTGCCCAGGGTCACACAGCTAGCAAACGACAGGGGTGGAATTCAAAATCAGATATGCCTGACTATGGGGCTGTGCTCTTAGACATACTCACAGAGGTCACATTGATTACTCGTACTCCCTGCTTCTTTCTTTATTTTTTCCTTCCCTCCATTTCTCAAGGCAGCTGTGTGGAAAGGGCCGTGTGCTTTTTCCACTGCAGGTCACCCTCTGCCTGCGGCTTCTCTTCTTCTATCAAATCTTCACATTAAGAAAGGACATGCTGCCTGCTTCAATTTCATGTGACTCCACGCTCATGGGTTTCCTCTTCTGGGCAAGGGTGTTTACTGTCTAAATCTTCTAAGTCTTGGCTATGTTCCACATCAAAGGCAGTATAATGTCCTAAGTGAACACTCAAGGCTGTGAAAACTGCTCACCCAGGTTCAAGTTCTGGCTCTGCCATTCAATAGCTCTGTGATGGAGCAAGGTATTTGACCTCTCTATAAACTGTAAAACAGGGATAATAAGCTACCTCCAGGTCTATTCACTCAAGCTACAGACATTGATTGAAGATCATGCCAGGTCCTGGAGATACAGGGTTGTGCGGTTTAAATGAAGTAATATATGTGAAGTTCTTGGCACGGGACCAGGAGACACCAAAGGCTCAATAATAAAGTAGTCATAAATAGTAGAACAAAAGGCAATTTCTCTAATAGCCATCACGGAGCGGGACACGGGGAATGAGGTGTTTCCTGAACAGGGTTTTTCTGAATAGGGAAACTCTTGAAATGATCTTGTATGATTGAATACCTTCTTCCCCTGGATAAGGCCAGCCCCAAATTTTAAATAATAGCCATAGTCAACCTTCTTGAACACTTACCATGCACTTTACATATATTAACTCAAGTATTCCTTACAATTACCCCCTGAAGTGGGTTGTATTATAGCCTCATTTTATAGAGAAGGAAATGGAGGCCCAGAGGGGTTAAGTAACTTGCCTGAGACCCCACAGCTAATGAATGGCAGGGCGGGGATCTGAACCAGCTAGTCCTGACTCTAAAGCCTGTGATCTCACTGCCTCTTTAAACTCACCACCCTGGATTCACCTTGATTTCTACATCTCCTGTCTGTGTAGCCAGCCATGAGCAGCTCCAGAAAGAGACACATTCAGGCAGGGGATATTTAGAAAGGTGTTTGGGGGGGTTAGTATTCTGGGAGCCTAATTTGGAGACCTTGTTTCCCAAGGTTTTCTCAGGGATGCTTCACTGATCCCCACCTCCCTTTACACCTCTCCGCGCTGTGTCTCTCTACCTCACCCAAGACCAGAGCAGGCTGTCCATCCGGAAAAGCAGCGCTTGCGGAACCAGGAGTGGAGGCACCGGCTGGGGCAGTCATGTGGGAGGCGGGGCTGCCATTCCTTTGGCACAGCGCTGCTCTTCCGCAGTCTCGCATGGGCTGCCTTGGGACTGAGTGATGCTTGGCCCATCCGCCTTGCCCCCCATCCTCCTACTGCCCGAGGTCCGCCATAGCACCGCCAGCAGGAGCCACCCCAGACTCCACGCAGGTGACCTGTGCAGTGGGACATGGCCTTGCTCAGAAGGGTCCGTGCTTGGCTTAATGCCCTGCTGTCTCTATCTTGAAATTCTTCATAAGATTTTGAACAAGGTGCTCTGCATTTTCATTTTGCAGTAGGCCTTGCGAGTTAGGTAGCCGGTCCTGCTCAGACCCCACTAAGGCCTCAGGAAGCCTCCCCAGCATGAGACTCTAAAGGAGACTCCAGGAAGGCAGGAGTCAAAACATGCTTGTGGGCTGTAGGCAGCCAGAGAATGGATCCACACATTTCTTTGGGTGATGTGAATTGAGCAGGTTGCAATCGTATTTGCGGTTACTCCCATAAATAAACCTAACGCCCTCTGAATGTGCAGTTTCTTCCCAGGAGAATCACTGGAGAGAAGAGTCTGCCCGACTTAAGCAGAGAGGTGAATCTGGTCTCTCCGCTCCTTAAGGTCTCTCTTACCGGCCGGCCACAAGCCTGAAGCCCCACCCTTACTAAATCTTTCCCTGCATCCTGCCAGTAAACCAGAGCCCTGCTCAAGTGCACACAGGGTTTCTCCCTTCTCAAGAGCTTGCTGCCTCCATCAGCGGCCCTGCCCCCCTTCTCCCCCATCCCTCCAGATTTCCAGCCCCTTTCCTATCAGCTGTAGATGGAGGGCTCACTAGTGCTTGTGGAGGGGCTGCTCAGGCAAACTGCATTGCAAATTCTCTCCTTTCCTTCTGGCCTCGCTCTGATGCTGCCTTTCCCTCACCTGCCACCCTCCCCACCCGCTTCCTGCCCTTTGGCTTCCATCCTCTCAATTATTAAAACTGTCCTCTCCAAGATGACCCATCAAGGTTCAGAGTTTCCTCAGCCTTGACCTTGTGGAGGTTGGGCCACGTTATGACTTCAGGGGCCCATTTTTGCCTCTGGGAGTCCTTCCTCCATAAAGAAATATTAAAAATTATATTTGAAGACTGTGTTGTTATAAAGATAAGTACAATCCAGCCTGGATTGTATTCACTTTTTAATTCTTATTTCAAAATTTATTACAATGCTTTCATGGGTCCCTAAAGTATCCGTGGTCTCTAGGCTCTGTACCTGCGGAGACTAATGGAGGAATCAGTCCTGTGTTGCAGAGCTGGGGAAAACGTAATAAAGCCTCCTTGAAATCTTTCCCCTCTGGGAAACCATACTACCTTTTTTGTTGTTGTTCCTTTTATTGGGAAAACAATACAGTTACAAAGAAAATTGTAAGGAGAGAGACCTCCTCCATCCCATATCCTAACGGTGCTCTTCAGCTGTGATTTGCTCCCTGGTCCAGATGGAAAGCTCTTTTGCACAGCTGCCTACTGTGTTTATGCAGTTTTGCATTCCGTTTGTCCCATTTAATGTCATTTTATTGAAAGCACCTTCCGTGTCTCTGCAATAGTCTTTATAACCATCTGGCTGACTTACAGTGATTGACTTACTTTTCCCCTCTGTTGGTTTCCTGTCCTTCCCAGACTCTGCTTTCTCTGGCCTTTTTATAGCCTTTCTTCCCCCTTCTGTGGGTTTCATCTGGGCCATCTGGTCATTCTGAATATCATCCCCCAGGTAGTCTGATTCATGGCTTCAACTTTCGGCCTCACAGGGCCAAGGAAAACGGGCTTTGCAGACGGTTCTTCTCAATGGCAATAACTGTCCGACAGTCTACCTACGTGATCTCCCTGATCCCTTTAACAGTGCACGGCGTTCACTGGAGAGCCAGTGAGGCCAAGGGGCATGGTTTTGTTAAACTCTATGTTCTAGTAATGGGGTCAGAGTGTCTGAGCCTGCAGGTACCTCAGAGATGACCCAGTCCAACTTCAGTATTTTACAGACAAGGAGACTGAGGCACAAAGAGGTTCCCAGACTGGGAAGCAGTGACCAGGGATTGGACACTTTGTTCCTCGACCTCAAAGTTTAATGCTCTTTCCTCAATAGCATGCTTCCTGGAAGTTGTTGAGGAGGATCTTTAATTTATATTACGGTACCATTAGAATGTGAATTTGTTATAGGATTATATTTACACTTATTTGGCTGCCCATTTTATCTGAACATTATCTAATGGGATAAAACTCCACAACACAGCTCTTAGTGAAGCCCATACTTTGAAATCATCTGGATCATTACAGGAGGATTACCTAAGTGATTCATGTTCTATCCAGTGGTAACTTCCCCTGTTCTGTTAATGTTCGCTTTGTCTCTATGGTCTGCTGAATCACTTATTGCTGAGGGTTCCAACAGCCAAATCAGTTAAACTTACCTGTTCAGAGATAATGAGCAGACCAGTCTTTGTCCCAAAATAACCAGGCCAACACTGGTACTAGCAACCTGCAGACAACAATAGCACTCGTTACTAAGAGGACTGAATCTGTCTGTTTTGGCCACAAATATAATTTCTTACACTGGAAATACCATAAGCTCCACTTTCCCTCTCATTGCTAGAGATACTGGAAAGAAATAGCTCTGAAAATGCTCTCTTGAAGGTAGGGAAGCTAACTATAAAGACTTTTTAAGGATCTCCCTTAAATTATTTTTCTATTTTTTCCTAATCTCTCTTCTCCATGTACTCTGTGTGTGCGTGCATGTGTGTATATGCGTGTGTGTGTGTGTACACACGTGTGTGTGTATGTGTGTGTGTGACATTTCGCTTAGACTCACTGTATTAATCCCTTTCCATTGGGTTGCATTTGGCCTTCATCTGCTCAAATAACCTTGAATTCCATCCTGACTGACTTATTTTGGGGAAAGAAATAGAAAGTCAGCTATCAATGCAGCCGAGGGAAGGGCACACAGGAAAGGGAGGAGGGGGAGAGCAATTTTACCACGCAGGGGGTATGAGCACTGGCCTCCCATACTGCCCCCACCCCAGTCTCACCCCGTCCGCACCACTAATTGTCGAGTCAGACCTCACACCCCCAGACACTGAGCTGAGCACTGCTAGCCAGTGGCCTGCTGTGGGAACAGGACTGGTGTCCACAGGGTGCCCTCCTGCCCCTGCAGGCCTTACAAAGTCCATGGACACGATGGCTTCAGCGGTCGAGTTCTCGGTCTGGGCGAGGAGCACCATGGAGGCAGGGATGTCCAGGGTGAAGCTACCCGGCTGCAAGCTGATCACAGGGGGCTCCGTTGCCATGACCCGTACCATGAAGGGCTGGGACAAGATGTAGATCTCTGCAATCTGCGATGTTCAGGGAAAGAAGTGGAGTCCAGGAAGGGGAGTTGATGAGGGGAAATCACACATTTGGGGTGGCCTGGGTGATTAAACCTTACATCGTGCGGTCAGAATAGAAACAAAGCTCTTTGGCCATTTTAACACCACCACCACACACAAGACAAATAATAAGAACAGCTGACATTCACTGAACGTATCCAAATTATCTGGTTTAATCTTCACTAAATCCCCGTGGGCAGGTTCTATCAGAATCCCCATTTCACAGCTGAAGACAGTGAGTCCTTTGGTTAAATAATTTCCTTCACTTCCGGGTGAATAAGTTGAGGAACTGGGATTCAAATCTAGGTCTGTCTGACTCTAGATCCTTGCTCTAAAACCAGGATCCTCAGTGAGCATCTCTCTGTCCTCGAGAGCAAACCTGAGCCTTTCAGGACACTGTCCAATATTCAGGTGCTGTGAGGGCATGACATTAATAGTTGCTTCACTAAAGGCACAAACATAGCCACTATTCCCCCATTTCCCATAGAAGTTTATTATTTCAAATGTGTGGTGGAACCTTAGGGAAGGGACACTTGATTTATTTCGTAAACTTAAAATGCCTTTAATAGTAACTTGTTCAGTAAATATTTGTGGCTATTTTATTAAAAGAAAAAAAATCTTGGGGCCCTGGGTGGCACAGTCAGGTGTCTGACTCTTGGTTTCGGCTTAGGTCGCGATCTCAGGGTGGTGAGATCAAGCCCTACATCAGGCTGGTGCTCATCGCGGAGTCTGCTTAAGACTCTCTCTCCCTCTCCCTCTCCCTCTATCCCTCCCCCCTGCTCTCTCTCTCTCTCTCTCTCTAAAATAAATAAATCTTAAAAAAAAGAAAAAGAAAAAAAATCTCTTTAGAATGGAAAGATGGACTCAGGTTTGGACCAAAAAGGAGTAGAAAAAACCCACAAATCTTCCAGAAGTAATTGCAATGAATCCAGATACACTTAACAAGCAGTCAAACCCTCAGTACTCACCCGGGAGAGCACGTTGCCAAGGCCTTGAGAGTTTTGAACCAAATGGTTGGAAATCTGGAAAATCAAGACCATCATGTCACTGTAAGATTTTTACCTGGGCTTTCTTTTCAGAGAAAACCTAGCTTTCCTTATATTTTTATGAATCATGAAGTTGTTACACCAACAGACAATTAGGGTTTAAAGGTGGCCTATCATTTTATAGCCCAACCATAAGAAATCTGAGGCCCAGAGAAGTAAAGTAACTTGCCCAAAGTCACACAGGAAATACCTTCCTTTTTAGTAAGTGCCTTTTAACCCTAGCAATATTGTGTATGTCGTATATGTATGATCCATGTGTAACCATCCTACAGTGGTTAACAATAAGTCTTGCATTATTGCCCACCTTTTCAGAGATTACTGAGACAAGGGATGCTTAAGTAATTTATCTTCACAGATGAATGGTTTCCAAATCTGAAGCTAGACCTTTCTAATTCTTGGCAGTCTATGGTAGCTGGTGCTGTCGCACCTCGTATTTTGAACCTACATTTTATAACCACTTGTATAATTAAGATCCATGGAATGGAAAGATTAATAGGGGATGCTTAATAAAAGTTGTTGGTTGACTGGCTGGAGAGAGTGTTCTCATCATAAAAGGGAGGGGCATGGCAAGAGAATCCATGACTATGTGTCCTATTACTGGTCATTGTAGATAAGTCAGTTGCAATTACCAACAGGAGAAATGTTTGTGTTGGCATAACACAAGGCATAATAATAATAATAATAATAATGATAATAAGCAACACTTAACACTTACTCTGTGCTAGGCATTGCTCTGAATGCTTTACATATATTTAAACCTCTCTAATGTCCATATCAACCTCATGAGTATGGAATTATTATCCTCATTCTCCAAATGATGACACTCTGGCACAGAGAAGTTAAATAAATTGAAGATGCCCAAAGTCACAGGTCATAAGTGGTGGAGGGAAGTCTTGGCATTACTTAAGATCAATCTAGAACAGTGGCCCGGTACCCTATACAACTGAAATTAGCAGACCCAGAGACCCAACAACTCCCCAGCTAATAACAGCATTCAGTTCACAATTCCTTTATTCATGTCCTGCTGGGGTTGATAGTCTAAAAAGGCCCAGGAAATAGAAACTATGACATAAAATTCCCATAATGGGCTACTTATAATAAGACTAAATGCTGGTGCTGATTGTTCCATCCATGAACTCTCCTCACCTCTTTCATGGAGAGAGTGACGTTAAAGGCCCCAGATGTAAAGTAAGCAAAGGACGCGGATTTAAAGAAAAACTCAGAGATTCCAACATAGAGCATAGAGTCATGGCGTTCTGGCAGCGCAAAAGGAACTGGCAAGAAGGGGGGATCGGTGAGGTTGTCCAGTGGGTAGAATACGCCCTGTGGGAAAACAAAGATCAGTGTATCAGATCAAGACATGGGTGTACAGCACTACGTAGGTGGATCTGCTCATGTCAGAATCAGGAAAATACCAGAAACTCAGGAGGGATTAAAAGACTACAGGGCCTTCTGACTCCTTGACCAGGGACTGTGGTTTTGCAGCTCTGATGAGTTCTTGAGCATATGCAGACGTGTCTGTCCACCCTGGGGTGTAACCTCTCAGAAGGCAGGTGCATTTTAACTGGACGCACAGCTCTGCATAGTTCCTGAGGTGCCATGTAGAGATGCCAAACCCTTAATCTTCAAATTCTGTGGCTGCTGAGCATCTGTGTTGCCCTCAGTGGCTAGAGGGTGTTATTACAAAATGGTGTCTTGAGTAATATTTAACTGATTTGAAAGACTCTAATTGATTGAAATATAAGTCAGGGGCACCTGGGTGGCTCAGTAGGTTAAGTGTCCGCCTTTGGCTCGGGTCATGTTTCCAGAGTCCTGGGATTGAGCCCTGCAGTGGGCTCCCTGCTCAGCAGGAAGTCTGCTTCTCTCTCTCTCCCTCTGCGCCCCCACTCCCCAGCTCGTGCTCATTCTCTCAAATAAATAAATAAATAAAATCTTGAAAAAAAAAAAAGAAATATAAGTCAATATGCACTTAAAAAAACAATGATAATAACTTCGGGGCAAAACTAAACATAAAGACAATTAATCTTTTCCAGAATTAGCGAACACCATTTTCATATGCAAATGGCCCTGACCGAGGTCAACAGCCCTCAGTTAAATTGGCTAATCTGACAGGAACAGGAGTATCGATATGGACAATCTACTGATGTGTTAAGTTCTAATATATGCAGAGCCATGCTACCTCTTAGCCTCAGACCTATCCCCAGAGACACAGTTATCACAATACTTTCCTTGAGGAAGGCAGTCCTATGTTGGGCAAATCCAAACCATCCTTTACCAATCAAGAAAATGTTGAAGGGTCTTTTCTTTTTTTTTTTTCTAAAGATTTTTATTTATTTTATTTGAGAGAGAATGAAAGAGAGAGCACATGAGAGGGGGGAGGGTCAGAGGGAGAAGCAGACTCCCCACCGAGCAGGGAGCCCGATGCGGCACTCGATCCCGGGACTCCAGGATCATGACCCGAGCCGAAGGCAGACGCTTAACTGACTGAGCCACCCAGGTGTCGGGTTGTTTGTTGTCTTAATGAGTTTTTTTTTT